TACAGCTTCCTAACAAATTAAATGCGAATAAATATGAATCATGAATTATATATACAGTGGTACAAAATATCAATAAGACTTTCAATAAAAAACTAAATATTTGAACACATAGACCTTCAAGAAAAAAAAAACTACAGAAATTCTATGGAAAACTGAAAATAATACCAAAACCTTAGCAAAATTATATTTTTCTAAATCAAATGTATATGTACGTCAAAGTTGGATAATTCGATATGTGTCATTATTAATATTTTACATAATAGTTTTTTTAAATTTATAAATAAAAATAGGATAAATTACACATTATATATTAAATTCTCTTATAAAAATAAAAATTTCTATAAATATATATAATTTTTAATAATTTTAAAGATAGTAGCTAAAAAAATAAACCAAAATATTAATACAGACTCGCGCGTAGCGCGAGTTATATACCTAGAAGACGTGAAGACATTTGCATATTAATTAAATAAAAAATATTAAATATGATTAGGACGGAAAATTTGATTTAATTGGTCTACATCAACTTTTAAATCAAACCAAAAATTATTAAGTATAATTAAAATATTAAAAGTTAACTTAACAAATTATGTCCAACAAAAAAAGTAAATTCAATTTGATTGATCCAAATCAACATATTTATTAAATCAGAAAATGTTAATATGGTTTAAAAATTTAAAAGTTAAATAAAAAAATTAACAATTAACAATACATATATAAAAAAAGTAACCATTATCAATTATCAATATAAAAAATCTACAACAACTCAATTTAACAATTAAAACAATGAAAACTAAATAAAAATATAACATAAAACTCTTGGAAGACATGATGGAGAAGGAAAAAATGGTTTTGCATGATCATTACAGCTTCCTAACAAAATTAAATGCAAATCAGCATGAATCATGGATTATATATGCAGTGGTACACAACATCAATAAGACTTTCAATAAAAAACTAAATATTTAAACACATAAACCTTCAAAAAAAAAGAACTATAGAAATTATATGGAAAACAGAAAATAATGCCAAAATCTTAACAAGATTATATTTCTCTAAATCAAATGTATATTTATGTCAAAGTCGGATAATTCGATAGGTGCATTGTTATTATTTTACCTAATAATTTTTTAAAATTTATAAATAAAAATACAATAAATTACATAATATATATTAAATTCTCTTATATAAATAAAAATTTCTATAAATATATTATATTTTTAGTAATTTTAAAGATACTAGCTAAAAAAAATTAAACCAAAATATTAATACAGATTCGTGTGTAACGCGAATTATATACCTAGTTAAGATAAAAAAAAGCTATATCTATTTTCTCTTGTGTGTATATAACGCTACTGTCTCTAGATTTTAGGAAACTACTTTGTAAAAATTGAATAGTTTGATAAGGAATTTAAAAATTAAAAATAATAGTAATAGGAAGGCGGACCAGTTTATGAATGAGCTATGGTATGTCGTGTCAGGTTATAATTGGCTGACGAAAACCCGACAAAACAATCGAACGAGTACAATTTAAAAATTCGTTTTAACAGCCGCGTATTAGTTTTGGGTCAACCCCTCCCCCCTCCCCCTCCTAACTCGCTGCACCACTCCCACACTCGTTTTATCCTATTTATGATGTCATTAAGACAATTTGTAATTTTTTTTTGTTATCAATGTTGTTTATATGATTGATTATAAACCATTTTTTGTTGTTAATCAATTTCTAGCAATTAGTATAATCTTTTTGTTTGGACATAGATTACAAAATATGTAGAAATATGTATTTGTTCGAATATAAGGAGTTATGTTTTGGAATTTAGTCTGGGGACGAGCGACATGCGGTTTCAGAGTGAAAATCGGATGAATCTTGCGAACATAAACAAACGAGTAAGCCGAACCTTCGAGTGGATCGAAAAAGGTATTTCTTCTGAATGTTTTTTTACGTTTAAGTCAATGCATGTTTTACTATGAACAAATATTCGGGAAGGCGGGTTTCGAAGTAGTTTATGAGTTAAGTATCTCATCCGAGGATCGTGATACTCGGATGTTGTTTGAAAGGTGGTGTGCAAGAAATGGACCGTGAGAGGAGTGGGGTAGGAACTCTTTTTGTATGGGTATAAAGTACAAGATATAAATGATAAGAATACTTATCTCGATGGTCGTCTTCTCTGCGGAACGGGGAGTGCTTCCCTTTGGTTTCGCTGTATCGCGGGACTCAAAGTATGCTCCTGTGAGGAAGAGGTCGAAGGTTTTGCCCTTCTCCTCCTAATATTCTGATGTGTGGTGGTCATCCTTCTTCAGATCCAGAATTAGGTCTCTAGTCAGGAAATCAACATCTCTCCTCATTTGGCTCTCCATCACCTTTTATACATCTTCTCACTCGTCTTGTCTCATCCATGCGGTACGCCGCTGGAGCAGGTGGTTTAGTACAGCATGCCTGACTCATTAATCATGCCACCTACATGGGAAAAGTCCGCTAGAGAGTCGGTGGCAGGCCTAGTGGGAGAAATTCAGCACTCTAATGGGACCTAGTATCCACATGTCGCCTTGATATTGGTCGTGGTAAAAGTAGACCCAAAAATTGCTCCGATTTCTTGATTATTGGAAATGATTCGGAAAGTCGGCCCTTCCGTCATTCCTGTGAAAGAAGCAGAGATTCGTTTGATACCGAGAGTTTTGGATGGTTTGAAGCCACGTTAGAACGGGTCATCCGACTTTGCCTTGTATCCCGAAGAAGTACGGATCCAGCCAAAGCAAAACCAAAATTTTTGGAAAAATGATAAATGAAACTCATCCTACCTTGCCGTATATTCTAGAGAAGTACAAGTCTAGCCGAAGTGAAACTAAGTTTCAAGAGAAACGATAAATAAAGCTCACTTCAAAATTTAATATAAAGGGTTGGTCGACAAAAAAATTGATTCTTAAATAATTTTTTTTTTGTTTATAATATTTCTAATCATTTATTTACCCAAAAAAAATATTCATTTGCATGGTTTAAGATAACACATTTGCACTTGGTAGCAAAAAATAAGTAACAACAATGAAGTAAATAAGTAGCAACAAATAATTTTTGTAATATGCTTTTTTAGATGGTTAGATTTATTAAATTAAAATTTGAATTAATTTTTTTTTACTTTAAAGTTTAGTTTGATCGGAGAGTTAATTTGATGATGGTTCTTTAAAAAAAAAGTTGATTTGATAATATTTTTTTGTTGACAAAAAAATAAATATTTACATTGGAAAACATTACTCGTCTTATCTCATAACAACTAAATAAAAGATCAATAATAATATACAATTATTCTAAAGTTTCTTTTACGTAACTTTAGAAAATGTTAAAGTTTGTAGTGTAAAAAAATAAAGTTGGGCTATAAAAACTGTAAAACAGAAAAATAGATGCAAATGGTTGTATAGAAAATGAATAAGTTGAATCAGAGGAAAAGTAATAAGTTGAATAAAATTGAGTTGGATAATGTTACTCAGCAGAATGTAATAGTATTATGCCTTTTTGAGGAGTAAAATATTTTAGAGGAATGAGTAATTTTTCCTCTGATTATGTGGGTTCCATCAAATTTTAGCAGAATGGATATTCAGCTTAAATGGTTAGCTTTCAGAGGAATGTAGAGGAATCACCCATTCAACTTATTTTTTTCCAATCACACTTTTACTAGTAAAACTGTATAATTATGTACAGTTCTGAGAGTCATATTACCAATAAAACCCCAAATCAAAATAACAAATATTTACTTTATCGCAAGTGAAATGTGAGCACGATGCTACCTTTTGTCATGTACGTCATATAAATAATATAGTTTGTTTTTTAGACAATCACCAAACCGAATAAGCTTGATTTAATAATGTATTGAGTATTGAAAAAAAAACTAATTAGTATCTGCCATTTACCTTTTAGTAAATTTGTATTAAATTTTTGTACCATTATACCAGTTGATCTCTTTACCATAAATGATTGTTTTACCCCAATGTAGTAAATATGAACTATTCATTTTACCATGAGTATCATAATTGTTTGTTTTCTACCTCAACCTATTTTAGAATTCATCTTTGAGACGGGTAAAGAAAAAGAAAAAAAGTAAAAAGCAGTGGATAGGTAAAATGGTTTAACCATGGTAAGTTATGCTTTCGGTCAATGATGGTTTCTGATTTTGAGTAAAATTTGTTGGTGACCAAAATATCGCGGGTAAAAAGACAAACTAATCTCGTGATATGATAAATTGCTAATTTTATAACTCACTTGTTCTCTGGACCTGATTACTGAGCAAACGAAACAAACAAGTTAGTTGCAGGTTTTTTTTTCAAACATTTTTCTAAAAATCAATATATATTCGAATTAAAAAATTTATGCAATATAAAATTATAAAATAAGAGTTTAAAAGTTTGTGTTGAGATAATCTCTCGGGTTGTTTGGTTCTTGTTCTGTATACATCATTACTAGTCGAGAAAAATGAAAAAAAAGGAGTGTTTATTAGTGTTATTGTAGTCTTGTCCGTGCCTGATTATTGCTCTTCTGCGATCTGATCGGCCATTAAAGCTTTTTCCCCCTTCACTATGATACCTCTTTGAAGTGAGAAACCCGGAAAAAAAAAATAGGTTTACTGTTTCTCTGCAAATTTATCACTAAACCACAAATCTCTCTCTCTCTCTCTCCATCTCTATCTCTATCTCTATCTCTTTCTCTTTCTCTTTCACTTCCCTTTTTTCCCCTGGAACGGTTTTTTGTCTTTCTCTTCTCTCTCTTCTTCTTCTGTTTGCTACTTCTCTGGTTTCAAGAGAGGAACTTGATTTTCATATATTGAAGAAACTTAAATATTCTTGTCCGAAAAGGAAGACGAAAGGACTGATCTTTCTCCTCTGATAGCTTTCTTCTTATATCAGTAAGGAAAAACAAATTGGATTATTATATATTTCTTCGTCTTCCTTCCCTCATTTTCACAAAAACTGAATTTTGATTTTTCTTATCTTCTTTCCTCTGTTTTCTTCAGAGTAACAAAAAAAAAATGGAGCAAGAGAAAAGCTTGGATCCACAACTATGGCACGCTTGTGCAGGATCAATGGTTCAAATCCCTTCAGTGAATTCAACGGTCTTTTACTTCGCTCAAGGCCATAGTGAACATGCTCACGCGCCTCCCGATTTCCACGCGCCGCGCGTTCCACCGTTAATCCACTGCCGCGTCGTCGCTGTGAAGTTCCTCGCAGACGCAGAAACGGACGAAGTCTACTCCAAAATTACGCTTCTGCCACTACCGGGAAACGACATGGATCTGGAAAACGACGCCGTTCTCGGTCTGACGCCCTCTCTTGACGGTAGTAACGTTAAGGGTAACGAGAAACCGGCGTCTTTCGCCAAAACGCTGACGCAGTCTGACGCAAACAACGGCGGCGGTTTCTCCGTGCCGCGTTACTGCGCCGAGACGATTTTCCCGCGGCTCGATTACACGGCGGAGCCTCCGGTACAGACCGTAATCGCAAAAGATATCCACGGTGAGACCTGGAAATTCCGGCATATCTACAGAGGAACTCCTCGCCGTCATCTCTTGACCACCGGCTGGAGCACTTTCGTCAACCAGAAGAAGCTAATCGCCGGCGACTCAATCGTTTTCCTCCGCTCAGAATCCGGCGACCTCTGCGTCGGAATCCGTCGCGCTAAACGCGGCGGTCTCGGATCCAACGGCCTAGGATCCGACAACAACAACAGCCCGTACCCCGGATTCTCAGGCTTCCTGCGCGACGACGAGACAACAACATCAAAGCTGATGATGATGAAACGCAACGGAAGCGGCGGAAACGACGTGAACGCGGCGGGAGGGAGGGTTAGAGTGGAGGCAGTAGCGGAAGCGGTGGCGCGTGCAGCGTGTGGACAACCGTTTGAGGTGGTTTACTACCCACGCGCGAGCACGCCTGAGTTTTGCGTCAAGGCCTCTGATGTAAGATCAGCAATGATGATAAGATGGTGTAGCGGAATGCGTTTCAAAATGGCGTTTGAAACAGAGGATTCCTCAAGAATCAGTTGGTTCATGGGAACCGTCTCCGCCGTTCAAGTCGCTGATCCAATCCGTTGGCCTAATTCCCCATGGCGTCTCCTTCAGGTAAGCCACGCCCCAAAAGTCTCTTCCTTTTTACAAAACCCGCGTTCTGCAAAACGCTTAAATGTTTGCGGTTTAATAGGTAGCTTGGGACGAACCGGATTTGCTTCAAAACGTGAAACGCGTAAGCCCGTGGCTAGTGGAACTGGTATCGAACATGCCAGCAATACATTTATCTCCGTTCTCACCAAGAAAGAAGCTGAGGATACCACAGCCTTTCGAATTCCCTTTCGACGGCGGCGCAAAGTTTCCGATTTTCTCCCCTGGATTCGCCAAGAACAACGGCGAATCCATGTGTTATCTGTCGAACAACGACAACAACAATGCTCCTGCAGGGATACAGGGAGCCAGGCAAGCTCAACAACTCTTCGGATCACCATCTCCGTCTTTGTTGTCTGATCTCAATCTCAATAGTTACTCCGGTAACAAGTTACAATCTTCTTCTCCGGCGATGTTTTTCTCCGGGAGGCATCATTACGATAGCATCGTGTCACGTCAGGGTAGGGATACAGAGTATAACAATAGCATTTCTTGTTCTTTAACTATGGGGAATCCCGGTTTAGTTCAGGACAAGAAGAAATCCGGTTCGGTTAAAAGTCCACATCAGTTCTTGCTGTTTGGTCAACCTATTTTGACCGAGCAGCAAGTCATGAACCGGAAACGGTCTTTGGAGGCGGAGACTGCGGCGCAGGAGGAGAAATGTTCAGCGGATCGCGGTTTAACATGGAATTACGGTTTACAGGGACTAGAGACCGGTCACTGTAAAGTTTTCATGGAATCTGAGGATGTTGGACGGACGCTAGACCTCTCGGTTATTGGTTCGTACCAAGAGTTGTACCGGAAATTGGCTGAGATGTTTTGTATAGAAGAGAGGTCCGATTTGTTGACTCATGTTGTGTACCGGGACGCAAATGGTGTTATCAAACGTATTGGAGACGAACCTTTCAGGTATAGTAATGTTTATTTTAAATTGTGAAGTAACGGTTAGTTTTCGGTTTTCGTAGTTGATTGAATTTCCGGTTTAAAAATGCAGTGATTTCATGAGAGCGACGAAGCGGCTAACGATCAAGATGGATATTGGTGGCGACAATGTGAGAAAGTAAGTCTAACTCTCAGCAATATTTCGGTTTTGTTTATGTAGTGATTGGAATACTGATTTCGGTTTGGTATTTCCGGTTTCGTGTAGGACTTGGATAACCGGGATCAGGAATGGTGAAAATGGTATAGACTCTTCTAACAAGACCGGTCCACTCAGCATCTTCGCTTGAAGCATTGAAGAAAGTAGTGGCCTTTGTTTTGATCCTAGATTTATTTTCTGTCTTTTAATTATTTTTTTTCCAACTTTATATCTTTTTTGCTGTTTTTTGTGTCGAACAAACTATTTCCAATTTAAGAAATTCCTCAAATTGGTATTTGAGTTGTCTGTTTGGGTTGTAAGATGTATATGTTAATCAAAGAACCTGCCATGTCATTTGGGTAATACCTAACATAGGCTAAATTTGTTTGAAGATGAGACTATTATGAGCAAAAGTATGTAAAATGTCTACAGCACTTTAATAGAAGTTATTTTTTCTGTTAATTTGGTTTTCTTAGCTTGTTAAGTAATAATTTATGAAGAAAAGCTTATTTTTTACATTTGGTACCTTGAAGTTGATTTTTACCACCGAAGAGAGTTGATTTGTGTTTTATGAAACAAACTATTTTTTTTTTCTAGTTACCTAACTTTTTTGTGCTACTGTTAGCTAAGTTGTTGTTTTAAAAGCTTCCCTAAACTACTGTTGCCTATTGTTCTGCTAGTTGCTTTTCAAATTTTCTTGTAAAATAAATCTCACACAGGGATTTTCAGTCAGATATTTCCTCTAATCCAACGAAAATTTTCCTGCAAGAAAAAGAATCAAATTTAACATGATATTTATTGTCCATCGGATCTACCTGAATTTCATAAGTTGGTCTCCTCTCACTCCATATTTAATTAGTTCAATGAACAGAAGAGGAAGAAGATCTATTAAATATTTTGGTTTAAGATACCTTCAACTATACTTAAAGTTAGTTGCTTTGAAAATTAACCACAAATATTTTATTCAACATTGTTTAACACACACACACACGTACGTATGTTTATATTTGTATATAACTTTCTGCTAAGAACAAGAAATTGAATCTTTAAAAATCGAACAAATTAATATAGTAAATGATTAAAATATGAACCAATGTTCCATGGGACAATGTTAGTTGGAATCTATTTTTACACATGTATATGCAATCTTTTATGTTTATCAAATCTCTTTTTTTCAGTTCTTACATATTACCAAATCTTAATGGCTGAATATCGAATTCAAACCACAATACTCTTTTTTCTTTTACGGTACATTTCGATGAGAAAACATAAGTAGAGGAAAGTGCTAATGTTATTAATTATGCTAATAAAAGTATAGTAGAAAAACAATTTAGCAAAGTACTACTTAAAAAAGAGAGCTTAGGGATCTGAAATGCGGAAAACATGACAGCAAAAGCTTGACTGTCCCAGCTAAGTTGTCGAAAAAGTCAAAGCAAAAGTCATGAGTTCGAAAGTTAAAAGAACACACACATTAGCCACTGGGTCCCGCACATGACACTGTCTATGGTCCATCTCACGTGCGGTCCCATTTCTGCCGCCGTTTTGATGCTTGTGCCCTCTCTCTCTCGCTCTCCTTTTAATTTTGCCATTTTTAAAAACCCTCTCTAGTCTCTACGAACAACACATGAATCTCGCCATTAGCTATAGGCGGCGAGAACTCAAGTTCTCGTACAAGAACGAAGATCTTGTGAACATGGTTACTGAGATTGTTTTCGCGGCCTTGGAAAACTTATAAGAGAGATAAAAGTCAAATTTTATGTAGTGAACAAAAAAAATGAAACAAACAAAGATCTACACAGATTCAAAGAGTATTAAATATGAACTGTATTCGAGTTCGAAATCTGTTTGAAATGAGTTTAAAAATAAGGATAAAGAGGTAGAAAGCTAAGTGTTGGATTTTTATTACGAAAATGATAAGAGGTAAATACGCTAGAAGGAAATGGCTAAAGGGTGATGAACAATGTTTTGTGGGTTTGGTTATTTACGTCTCATGTCATTGCGTGCGCGTGGTTAAGCGGAAGAGTGATATATGTGTTGACGAATATTAATGAGGTTGGGTGATAGCGATCTGTGGGCATTTATGGATGGAATTAAGGCTGACTTTCAGCTGGGTATTAAATGAAGAGACATAAAATATTCGCCGCCGCTTTACGTAAGCATGATCTATATGGACGTGATGACGAGTTAATGCAATTTGTAATGCTGCAACAAGATTGTCGATGGGCAGGGCGAGAATTTAAAATATCTCGGCACACTTAGGTTTGTGGAGTCTCCATATATAGTCGTTCATGCATCTAATCCCGTATAGAGGTACGGACTTACAAATCGGGTAATTTAATCTAAATTGGTTTTTACTATATATGAATATCTAAGTGAGAAGTTGAAGGTTCGTTCATATTTATAACAACATTTTCTTGGTTTGTGTATTCTTAGGTTTATCAACGATGGTTCAACTGTGGGAAGTACTGAGTGGCCTGGTTCGCGCGGAGCAAGGTTGGTGGATGAAAGATGTTGGGGGGGTTTGGCGGTTCGTTTTACTGGAGGACAGGCTTAGCAAAGGTATACGACTGCGCGAGGGCCAGGGGGTAGCTACGGTGAAGGCGATAGTTTGTAGAGAGCTAAACATAAACGTGGAGGAGGAGAACATCGAGTTAACGTACAAGATGCCGGAGTGGATGGACGAAAACGGTGTGGTGAAGCCGGTGCCAGTTCATATTCGAAACGATGGTGAGATGGACATGTTCCTGGCTATGCAGGTTGATCTCCACGAGCTAAAGCTCTACGTCGTGCCGATGCCGAAAAACATGACTCTTGATATAGAAGGGTTTTCCGTGGTCCCGGTAACGCACGGTTTTGCGTTAGCTGAGGTTGTTCGGAGAAGTCCAAGTGGCCCCCTCGCAGTGGATGTCCCTTCTGGTAGCAGCAGCGACAATTTCCATGGAACCCATGCACCGATGGGAACTCAAGACGAGGGTGAAAGTAGCCGGCGAGTGGCAGTGTCCTGGCTGGCATGTAGGTTAGGTGCATCACATGGCAATGAAGGACAGGGGAGGGAGAAGCAGATAATGGTCGATGGCGGCGACGCCGGAATGGTGCAGTCAGAGGCGGATCGAAGCCTATCCGACGTTGGCAAAATTTTTGATAGGCGTCACCCCCTTCGTGACTTGTTCCCGCGTCGCGTAATCGACCGTAAGTAAAAATATACAGGTCTATTAAACGGTATGGATATGAAATAGTAATGATCTCTTTAGTTAATGTGTCAGGTGTCAGCGAAAGGGTCATCGCACGTGAGGGAGACATAACAAATGGTGGGATATCTGGTGCAGATCCTGAGATAGGTAGGCTATATCTGTATTGTGTATTTATTGCACAAGGTGTAGTAAACACGTCTGATTTTGTTATAGACTATTATTATTTATTTATTAATATCTTGAAACCTATTATTGGCTAAACAGTCATTGGGGGTGAAGGTTTAGCTCCTGGAGATGACTCCCGCGGTAGTGCTGCATTACCGGTGGCTGTTGTTTTTGCTGCTAGCATGCCCCCGTTCTCGTTTGCGAGAGACGCAGCCCCGATGCTGGATGACTCGGATGATGAAGGTAATTGGGATGTAAAGCCTTATATATATATTTATAGCCTGCTATAAAAATATATTTCTATTCGTATGGATCTGTGTTATTGGCGTATAACGGTTTGCGTATAAATATAACTGTCTATTAATATCTGCAGGAAGAAATAGAAATGTAAATGTCTATTTTTTATGTGGTTGGGTAAAAATAATTATCTCGTGACATACATACGCGCATCCGGCCTTCTGACATGGATAATTTTAACAGGATTGGATCGGACAGAAAATGTGATACTAGATGTGGCATACGAGGGGGACGAGCTATATTTGGGACTGGTCTTCAAGAACAAACGGGACTGCAAGGTCAAAATAGCTATCCACGCAAAAAATAGAAGGTTCAGCTACCGTAATAAAAGATCAAACAACGATTACGTGGTTGTGCGGTGCCTCTCCGAAACATGTCCATGGAGGGTGTACGTTGTTCGAATCGAAGATACACAGTACTTTCAGATCAGAACATCCACGCTGCTTCACAACTGCCCCGTGGATGTGCGTAGACAGTTTCACCGCCAGGCCACAACCTCGGTCATTTCAGAAATAATGAGGGACCGTTACGTGGGTGAGCAGAGAGGTCCAAACCTGGCTGGTGTTGCACGAGTTATGCTCGACAATCATAACGTCGACATCTCTTACTGGAAAGCTTGGAGATCCAGGGAATTGGCAATGGACAGGGCAAACGGCTCAGCTGCTGGTAGGTACGCTCTCCTCTCGGCATACATGCATCTGTTGGAGCTTAGCAATCCGGGATCTATAACGGCTATTAAGACGGAAGAAGACGCCTCCGGTCACAAGCGCTTCAAATATTGCTTTGTATCTCTAGGTGGGAGTGTCTGGGGGTTTCAATTCATGCGTAAGGTCCTGGTTGTCGACGGAACACACCTTCGAGGCAAGTACTCGGGATGCTTGTTGACGGCGAGTGCACAAGATGGGAATTTTCAAATCTTCCCTGTGGCATTTGCGGTCGTAGATGGGAAAAACGATAAGGCGTGGGAGTGGTTCTTCCAAAAGTTGAAGCATATTGTGCCTGATGAGGACACATTAAACTTCGTCTCAGATCGGCATTCGTCGATATATGCTGGTTTATTCAAGGTATAAATTACTATAACTGTCTATTATTTATTATAAACACTTATAGTCGACTAAAAAATGGTGTTCAATTTTTGTCCCTGCACCCGCTCCGTCAGGAATATCCCAAGTCCACTCACGGTGCCTGCATAGTGCATCTACAGATAAATGTGGCAGCGAAGTTCAAGATCAAGGCCTTAGCTGGTTTGATTTCTAAAGCAGCTCATGCCTACAGAAGATCCACATTCCACGAGTATTTCGCAGAAATTGAAGGCCTCTCACCTGAATGTGCAGAATACTTGAACATTATCGGCTTCCACCACTGGACCCGATCCTATTGTGATGGTGAGAGGTACAACATAATGACAAGTAACGTAGCTGAGTCTCTCAACGCCGCTCTAAAAAAAGGTCGTGAGTTGCCCATCGTATCTATGCTGGAGTTCGTGCACGGCACTCTTATGTCTTGGTTTAACAAAAGGAGGGACGTCGCGAGTAACCATACTTCTCCCATGACTCTGAAGGTTGGCAAGATCGTTAACAACAATTATGAACGTTCAATAGCATGGCACGTCCTGCCGATCAACAAGGACCACTACGAGGTAAAAACGAGTACGGGTTTATCTTATCATATGGACTTCCATAACAAGACCTGCACTTGCGAGGAGTTCACTATTCTCAAGATACCATGCTGTCATGTTGTTGCGGCCTGGAAAAGGAAACGTCCATCTCCCCACAATCGTGGCCGCAGAGTATGGTACGTTCTACTGGCGTCTGGCTTATCATGAGAGTATATATCCAGTGCCCGCTATGGACAGTGTGTATGCGGTCCCTCCCGATGTAGCTGCAGTGAATGTGCACCCACCTAAGACAAGGAGGCCACCAGGTAGGCCAAAGCGTAATGGATACCTCTCGACAGGGGAGTATAAGGTATCAAATCATAGTGTTATATAACAGATATACCAATTTATGTAATAACATGGAGGTCTATTAATGGTTGTGAATTTCCTATCTTGTACCAGCGTCCAGGGAGGAAGGTTTTCCGCAAGTGCAGCCGCTGCAACGGGACTGGACATAACCGCTCGTCCTGCAAGTTGGTAATATAATATGGGATTGTGTAATAAGGTATGTCACTATACCAACTCATAGTAGGATTATTCTCGGAATATTGATTTGCATTAAGTAAGGGTCCTCATCTATCTTCTACGTTGCAGATTTGAGCTTCCGATTTTGTCATGTATGATGAAAGCTCAGCAGCTTTGGAATTCTGTTGTGTGCTCGGAAAATAAGTGACTTTCTCAACCATTGTATTACATCCACCTCTATCGTCACAGATGCTGGGTTATATCAAAAAATGTCCTACCTTTGTATTATATGGGTCGCCAGTTTTATGATTTCATGTGTTTGTTTTATATTCAGAACTCTCCCCTTAAGTGGGGCATCTATGTAATCCGTGTGCACTTTACAATGCACAAATAATGTCAAATTATTTAGTTGAAAAACATGTTATCTCGTTGGCGGTTATTACGAAAAGAGAAACTGAAACATAATTATAGTGAATCTAACTTTATATATATATATATATGTTCACATTTGTTAATAGTCTCTATTTAAGTAAGTAGCGAAGATATATTGAATTATAACGACATGCTGAGCACACTACCAAAACGACATATATTTTTAAAAAAATATAAATAACCACAAAACGCACGGAATGTACGACAACAAGTGAGGACGTTAGATTTAAAAATAGCGACTTATAAAAACGGGAATAGACGAACAATCGACTATAACAAACCATAAACAAGGTCCTGGAAAATACGACAAACAAATAATTTGGGAACAGTAACCCAATGTAGACCAACCATGTAAGTGTATGCAAAAACGGAACAAATATATCATCAAATCATTCGCCACCAAATTGTCACAACATACAAAAAGGGACTTCCGAGAGTTCCCATTGCACTACGGGGATGAACCCTCCACAACACTATGTTTGACGATCTCAACGGCTAAGTTCTGCGCGCGTATTTCAACCATTCCTTCATCGACAGCATAGGCCTCGGATAGCCCACCCCGCACATGCGCCTCCATGATTAGGAGGGTGAGCATCCCCGTTATCTTCCTATATGTAGCTTGGACAACTGCCGTGTCCTTCCTGATCTTCAGTGGTTCGAGACCATAATCTATCGTGCAATCACCAACAGCGACTTTGCGAACGAGATACGGGAACATCTGGCATATGAATTGGAGCTCAGGGGCTATTCGCGCCCCACGCCTCTCAGACGCCGATGAGTCAAAAACTGTCATCTGGGCGGACAGTATGTCAATGACGACCCCAACCCATCTGTTCTTGTCCGCTACAAAGGGAAAATACACGAAGTCAATGTCTTTCACCCAATCTTTAGTGCATGTGCGTACCATATCCATGATAGTATCCCCGAATTCAAACGCCTCTTTCCGGTTTGATTTGCTGAATTTTGGATAGAGCTTCGCCATCGACACGGCCCACCTACTGGGGAGAATGTCTGCTCGGTAGTCTTCCGATGGGGAGCAAGAAGCTAGCCCTGATTTCCGCAACATCTTCACGCAAGCATCCATGACCTACCGAAAAAGGGATAAAGCACTGAGAAGGTGAATATTTGGTCGTCTGCACTACTTGATAATGGTTAGTTACCTACCTCGGGACGGGACAATGGTACTAACAGCGGTAAATCGAGAACATCTTGTTTCTTGATCACCAATCCTCCCCCCATGTTTAGTTCCCTACAAACCCAAATACCTGCGTTAAAATTTTCTGTGGGCTACTATAAACGAGCATGAGTCTGAAATGAAGTTATGGTTTAAGTGTGTCTATGGATATCCATGTCATCCCTGTGGATATTTAAATAAAAGTATACCTGTCTGGGGATGCATTGAAGGTTAATGCAGTGAATTCCAAGTTCTCCGGCACTCCGGATGGTGTCACCCCTTCTGGATCGGAGTCAACAGATTTCTCAGAAGTGACGGGGGGTGCGTGGTGAAGTTCTGTAACTGGTACGGTTAGGGGCGGACCATTGACGACTCCATGAGTCGTTGGATCTTCACAGCGCTGGTGGTCGCTGGACTGTTGATTAGATCCCCCTGCCTCTTTGGTCGTCCCGTATGTCTCCTCGTCTGCATTTATGTCGCTGATGACGTTCCCAATAACTTGGTCCGCACCAGTCCCTTTGCCTGCCGCGTCGATCATGGCAGACATCTTCTCATTCAATCTTCTCTCAAGCCTACTCTCTATCGCCAACATCAATGTCGCCATTGAGTCAACCATTTCCGAGTGGGCCCTCTTCATCGCGGTGTCTATGAGATCCGCAATCTTCTCCGCCGTAATGGGCAGTGGTTCTCCTTGATCGGATGCCTTTGCCGTGTTGCGTCCGTCTCTTGGTTTTTTGCCTCGCCCTGGGGGAGTGAGGGGCTTGTCTTTCGCCACAGACGGCCCTTTCCTTTTCCGGCTTTTGGCGGCGGAGGATTGTGTGGGTGTAGGAGTCGCAACATGCCCACCAATGAAAGACTCCCTGCAAAACTCTGCTCTTTCAGTAATTAACATCTCCATGTAATCAACCTTCGGATCCAAGACTTCGTCTTGCCACTCTAGGGTGTCTAGGAGAATTTCTTCAGTCTCACCTTCAATAATTGATGTAACGGCGACCTGCGAAATAGGGCGAATATTTAATCCGTAAAGAATAATGAACTGCTACCACGTAATATAGATGTTTATAAAAGGGTATAGACTGATATACCTGTCCCAACGAATCAAGATCCCACAGCTTATCTAGTCTGAGAGTGGTGGCCGTAGCACACTCTTCCTCCTCAGACTCACAACCAATATCATCTCCCATCATCGTCAGCGCAGCCGGAACCGTCTCGAGGAGAACCATCTGGACCGCATGAATAAAACCCTGTACAGCAACGGTGGGCTGTGCTAGCTGATTGGTGGTGCGGGACTTGATGCACTGAACGGTCATCTCGAAGCAGTGCCGCCCCCAAAGGAAACTGAGGAAGTAATCTAGGTCTCGAATCATCTCCGCATGGTCTTTGGGGATCTTCATGCCTGAGGATTTACGGCAAAGCAGTCCGTCCACGACGAGGAGACATGCGTACTTGACCTTCAGCTTGCTCGATATATTTTTCGAGCGCCTAAGCATCACCTCCAGCTTCTCACCGGTGACATTTTCAACTCCTCCGAATAGAGTGAACCAGTATGGGACCTCGCCGGGTTTGCACTTCAGTATTTCCCGAGGAGGAGGGGAAATTGGTTTGCAATTTAAGACTGTGACAATCGCGAACTCGCGAAGCGAGAATTTGATTGGCTTACCCCCGAAAATAAACCAAAGCTCATGCCTCTTTTCAGTGTTCAACTGCCTGGTTAGTAGGAACTGAGCGAGTTTGCCGGAGTGGGCGAGTTTCTGATACATGTTGATCAGTTTCCCAAAACAAGGACGAATGACACTTAGTTCCTCGGGTGTGAGAGCTTTCAAGATAACCCCGATTGTGTCAAGCTTGAAGTATGAATTCACTCGGTCCCCGACTGGCTCCTGGTGATCAGCGAACAGCCGTTGTGGAAGTACATTAGATTCCATCCCTGCCAAAAGAATACAAAAAGGGTTCAATGTATCAGGGGTTACATGCAGATATAGTCGATCTATGACACTTTGTGGGTATCTATTTCCTTGGGTAGATGGGCATGTAAAAGTAGATCTGGGTTTAATCGGCGATGTTTGTAGTTGTCTATATACAGATAATGGATGCCTATCAAGGGAAGTTGATTGCGATAGCATAATATGTGTTCTACTCATAACCCTGTATACGAGAATTGATGTAAAACCCTTGACCCTATCTAACCAATTGCATGTTGTGTCGGTTGGGTCAGAGGAGTAGATAAAACCAAAAAACGGAGGAGAAATACCACAACGAGCAATTTTATAGCTGAATCACAATTAAAGACCGAGAAGACCAAAAGACGAGGGGCCCCGATAATCGTGAGCCAAGACATCGGAAAACTGAAATGGGGTTAAGCGTAGAGGAGCGGAAGTTAGGATTACCTCAATTACCAGTGTCCGGCGTCCGTGTCTCGGAAAATCCACGGCGGAGATGATTGCTCCTCGGGAACGGAAATACTGGGAGACTGAATGAAATCGGTTAACTAGCCTACAACAGGCAACGAATAAGAACAGCCAAAGTGTTCCGGCCACTGAAGGTTGCGTGAGGATGGCAAATTGCTTAACAGCAGCTATTGGTGTGGTCGGAGTTGGTTAAAGACGGGGGTTTCTACTGGACGTTTACTTCGCCTTCGGCAGTCGATATAGAGAAACTGATTTTAGGGTTCGGACAACGAAGGGACGCGGAATATTAAATATGTAGTTACTCAGACTAAAATCAGATATAGTTGAAGCTTTCTAAATATAACTAACCAACAAAACATTTTATTCGCCCATAGTACCCCACATATGTCGATGGGGGGTCTGCGAACTGGGTGCGCATGGGGGTATTGTTGGCAAAAGGAGTGGCAAAATATTTTAATGCTTGGACTTAGGAAAATTATAGTCATTTTGTTAATTCACTACGAGTCTTTAACTATTCAGTGGTATTTCCTTTAAAAATAAAATGTTTTAGTAGTAGAGATGACGTGTAATTTGCAAGTCCCTTTTTTCGTTTTCTTCTCTCTTTTTATATTTTCCTTCTCTTTTTATATTATCCAGTTCGTAAAGTTAAAAAAGAGATATTCTAACTTAAAACTACGAACCGAACTTCTGAAACTATTGATTTAGTTCTGACATAAGCACACTTTAAGGATAGCATTGTAGGGAAAATGAAGTGGACTTTTATCTAACGACGAAGACAAGACAAACATTAACGAAACCTCAAGATTCTCGGTTTTAAAATCGGTGTCTATATTAGCTTCAACCATATCGTCACACAAAGAAACCACTCTGAGTCTACATAAAGAACTCTTCCGTTTTACAAAATTGATATTTTGATACATTTTATCTCTATTAAAAAAATGTTATACTAATATGCCTTTATTTAGCGCAATGGTCTTTTTGAAACAAAAATTAACTTTTAGACGGTACCTAAATGGAGTGAGTAAAATTCACTGACAACAAAAATAAAATAGACTTGATAAAAAAAAACAAAAAAATAGAAATTAAAAGAGAAGTGATATTTGAAGTAGTCAAATGGTCAAAACATTTACGGAGAATGACGACGAAGAAGACATAAATTAGCAGAAAAGACAACAAAGGGCGAAGCTTTTTTCGAAGCAAACAAAACAAGTTCCCTTATTTTGCTCTCGTAATTTTCAGTTCCAATCCGATTGCCGTGGGATCTGTTTTGTTTTTACTTCAATTAGATAAGTACCTGCGTGATGTACAGATTTTTATTATATAATATAGTTTATTAAAAAATTTAGTTAAAATTTATTTTATTATATATTTAAATTTTACTTAAAAATGTTGTGTATTTGAATAAATATATACGTATTATGTAGACATTGACTATATATGTAATAAATAGTTTATTGATCATGAAATATGAAATATGTTATGCATTGTATATATAGAATAAATTAAATAGAGATAGTGTATTTTAGAGAAATACTATATAACAAAAAAGTAATTATAGAAACTCTTCAAATCACAATATAAGTAGAGACTACTATTTTTAGCAGGTCGTATTTGTTCTTGGTGCAGACTAATTAAATATTTCTAATACTAATTTTTTGGTCACATATCACGCTACAAATCTTAATTTATTTTATTTTTATTCTGATTATTTTTGTGAGATTTTCATTACATTAACAATAAATTAAAATATACATTTATCAAACATATAAAAACTAAAACAAAGATATTTAAATAGCACACACTTAAAAAGTAAATAATTAATTGGTCTAACTTTAATTACATAATAATAATAATTTATTAATTACAAAAATTAAAATGACAGATGTCACTCTCTCATGTGCTGAGGTGGTATTCAACTGGAGAGAGTTGACCATCTTTTATATTATAGATTCGTCGGGATAATCTAAATTTATGTAGTATAATAATATTCAAGAAGTAATTATGTATATGTAATTTGTTTATTCCTAGACTCATCCGTTTATGTGATAGAAAATGACAAGAAAAATCAATTGTGAGTTTGAGTTGTATTTTTTGAAACATTATTTAGATATTTTTTAAAAATCCGCAAAACAATAAATTTGAACAAAATAGATAATATCTTAAAGTTTAGTTTTGGTAAATTAATCTATCTAATAAAAGATTAAATTTTCTTATCTGAGTAAGAAAAAAAAGAACAGAAGGATGTTAGGACGCATGATCATTTGACGGATCTCAACCATACATTCTTCATTTTTAAGAACACTTTTGCAGATGCACCATGTGATTTTAAATGAAAAATAATTTTCTTTTTTCTTTTGACTTTTAATTATTTTTGTTTTGCTATTTATTTTTAACTTTTATTGAAAATTTTCATTGGTGGATTAAGTTTTTTTTTTCATTGGTGGATTAAGTTATAGTCGGTGTATAATTTATGTAAGGGACACTTTGGTAGAAAGCTAAGTGTTGGGTTTTAATTAGGAAAACAACAAGACTCAAATGAGCTAGAAGAAACTAGCTAAAAGGTGACGAACAGTGATTTGTGGATTTGATTATTTACGTTTGATGCCATTGCATGCGCGTGGGGTAAAAAGCTATCTGAATATGTACAACTGAATAAAATAAGGAGAGGCGTTAACCAAAATCAGACAACTGTCGGTTTGACATTAAATGAGGAGACATGATATTCTCCTCTCTGCCTGACGTGTGCATGAAATAATCTGAGGTGATGTGTAGTTAATACGATATAGTAATGCTACAACAAGAATTTTCGAGAGACATGACAGAAAAATAAAAATATATGGGTACACCTAGGTTTATGGAGTGTTAGCTGATAACTTGGAGAATGAATGTACATATTATAGACGTGGTAAACGTATACATATACTATATTGTAGCGGGTTATTTTGATATGATAGAGGTGTATGTTTATAAATGAGTAGCGTAAACTAAATGTAAGTCTACAAAGAGTAATAGATATCTACTAACTTTGACAGATGGTTATTATCTAGTTTGTAGTGTTATTCAAAATGATGGGTGGTTTTATGTATGAAGAAAAATGTACACATATATTATATTGTAACATGTTATTTGATCTGATGGGGGTTTATAATGATAAATGAGTAAAGTAAACTAAATATAAGTGTACGAGATGTTGTAATTGTCTACTAACACTGAGGGACGATTACCAGCTGTTTTGGAGTGTTATTTAATATAATAGGTAATTACATGTATGAAGAAAAAAACTATTTACTTTTAAGTTTACAATATGTTATCGATATCTAACTACATTTAAGCCATGTGACAATCGCAAACTCGCGTAGAGAGGATTTGATTGGCTTCCCCCCGAATATAGACCAAATCTCATGCTTTTTGACAGTGTTAGGCTGTCTGGTTAGAAGAAAGTGGGCAAGTTTCACATATGGAGCGGCTTTATGGTACAAGCCAAGCAGTTTTCTAAAGCACGAGCACGGACAGATGACATTCAGTTCCTCTGGTGTGAGGGCTTTGAGAACAGCACCAATTGATTCAAGCTTAAAGTACGAGTTGACCCTGCCACCCATTGGCTCGTGATGATCGGTAAATAGACGATGCAGGAGATCATTGGTAGCCATACCTGCGCAGTAAAGGATAGTAAAAAGTTATCAGATAAACAGACAAGTTTAGGTAATGTTTTGTAAGATCTAAGTGCGGTGATGGATGTCTATTTATCCGAGATGATGTACATATATAAATGTGAACTCTATACTGTGATTTAGATATCTAATGAAATCAGATAACTAAATAATTTTAAATGATATTTTTTTTAAGGTCTAACTAAGGTGATAGATGAATATTTATCCAAAATAATTTACTTATTTAAATGTGAACTCTATATTGTGATTTAGATATACAATAAAATCAGATAAACATGCAAGTTATGGTATATATTCAATATAAGCTACATACATATATGTTCACATAAATATATATACCTCCATTAAAGAATATGGATTTGTAAAAAGTAAAGTAAGCATACATAAACTGACATAGCATATATGTGTTCAACATATGATATATACAAATATTTGAGATCTGGCAGATGTGAGAACACGATCAAAGCAATAGCTTGAAATGCTGGATTAGAGCGATCGCTCAGTTAATCAATCCATAGAGCGAGATCAATCGAATATGATCTCGAAAACCCAACAATGAGTGTGAGAAAAAAATCTTACTTAGGAAAAAATGGAGAATCTCATAAGTTAGGTTTCGGCAGAAAAGTTGATGGCTCAACCCCATATCTGATGGTATATTGATTCTTTTGAGAAGATTTTCCGTTCTCGGAGATGCATATGGACGAGTAGCGAGAACGATACCAATGATGTGAAGAGTGAAGATTTGGCTGAGGCGGTGATGGTCAGATCGGAAATAAGTAATGAGATCATCTTGGTCTTATTGGAGCCACCGAGATGGTGTCGTTGAAAGAAAGGAAATTGAGATCAGAAGGTACCAAAAGAGAAGAAAAATTACATTGATGAAGAAAGATAAAGAGGTGGATGACAAATAGATAAAGACAAGATGGACAATTGTTATAGTCAAATAAATATCCAGTAAAATAACATGATACAAATGGATAGCGCGTGAGGGTATTTTGGAGAGAGAGTGTGGTGAAATATTTTAATGCTCGAGCGATGAAAAACAATAATCAATTCCCTAATTCACTACCAATCTTTAGCCATCTAGTGCAATTTCTCTTTATGTAAACATAAATACACTCGTTACATGATTTGGATATGAGCATCAACCTAATTTATTATTTTGATGTATAACGACATACATTTCATGATCGATGAGCTTGGAAAATGTTGAAGATCAATAGAAAAAATAGAAATATGAAGATTGTAAACGTGAAAAACAATACTGAACGTGAAAGATATATTTTTTTTTGTAGCTCGTTGATATTTAGTGCAAATCTCGTCTCATATTGTATAATCTTAATTTAGTATTCAATTTAGAAACTTTGTGGCTTTTCTTAGAGTAAAGAAGTTCAACAGGATCCATTTCAATAATTATATAAATTAGAATATAATTTGGTTTTACTATTATCATAAGAGTACATACTCGAAAGGTTAGTTAGGCAGATCTGATTTTCTGTTCTTTCACATAAAGAAATGAACAAAAGTTTGTTCATAACTAGTTACATGTTTCACACACATTAAAATCATGATTAGTGGTTCATTAATTGGTTAAGGTCCCGATAAATCAGACGGTCTCGAATAATTAAATTAGACATTGGAAACTAAAACAATTGAATGAGTCAAAATTGTAGACACATAGGGTGGCGAACCGAGCAAACGCTGTTAATGACAAATGTTAATTAACCAAAGTGTAGACAGAAAGAAA